AGTGAATGAGTACATTTCTGACTCATGTCAAGGGAACCTTTCTGGTGCTTGAGGAAAGATTGACACTGTAGATATTTGGAATGTTGAAAGTTGATAATGTTGTTAATAAATCTGCTTTGATCTATTAATTGACATTAATTTAAAAGATGAATAGTCAGTCATTTATTTATTTATTAACGTGCACACCTAGCATGCAGCTTTGTAGTAAACTGAGTGGGGCCTCTGTTCCAAGAAGCAGGTTTACAGAATTATCTCAATTTGCTGAGTAAAACCCTTTCAAATGTAAAAAGAAATGTCTGTAAAAGGACCTCTTGTGGATTATACTTTGCAAAGGTTTTCAGATAACTCAGTGCTTCTTGGAACAGGCCCTGAAGCTGGGGAGATGGAAACATCAACCAAAGTTTGAATAAAGATGAGACTCAAGTGTGTAGCGCAAATAAAACCAGATGTTTACTGTCATTTAATGTTCAGGAAGAATTATTTGCATAACCTGAGAGAAAACACAAGGAGAGGGAATTTACTGGCTGCTACTGAAGTGAGTTTTAATAGTAAATATATTCTAAATGGATAAACGCTCTCCAGGTATAGTTTGATACATGTCGCATGAAACGCCAGTTATAAATAGGGTCTTAGTGTGTCTTTGGGGCTCTTTTCCCTCCACTGCTCTGCTTTAAAAGGGTGTACTCACAGTGCAAACATAAAGATTCATTTGATAGATTTGTATCAAGAAGGATAAATGTTACTTTCATGCTTTCATAAATCTTTAGTAGCAGCGTAGTCGGTGCTGTGCACTACCTCTCTGAGTTTACAAAGCAAGCCATTGAGACGACTTTGTATCAAGATTAATTCAGACAAATTGATTAGTTTAGACTGTCTAATTCAGTTACTCGGCTGGTATTTGGTGCTGTCTGATACCACTCCCCCAAAATTGAGCATGATATTGGTAATGCTGTACATCCTATCTGATTACATAGGGACAAATTATGTGATTTCAATGTTTATGACTATACACTAGCAAACATTAGTCTTTAATGTATCTACAAGAAGGCCATGACCTAAAGGAGCTCAGCAAGAAAGAAAGAAAAGCTTTTTGATTTCCCTTCATTCCTTTAACATATTACATACGGTATATTTACATGATTAAAGTCTATGTTGTCAAATATGTAATCTGATGTATTTGTCAGACTGTTTTCTAGTAAGAGCTCTGGTGCACCCTATTGAAAAGTTTAGGAGCAGCAGCCCAAATTTTGAGGCCCTTTTATATTGACAGGCAGGCCAAGACATAACGATGTTTTCTTTCTCCATCTTAAATTAGTTTGTGATCTGTAATTTGGTAATAGGAAGAGACATGTATCAACTGTCACTACAGACAGTTATTGCTATGCATCAAATTTACTTGGTAATGATTTCCCCCCCTCCAATGTATTCAAGCCCTGCTGTGACTTTTGTGAATGGCAGTTCTCCCTTTACATTAATGGTAAGCTGTTTTTTTAAAAATGTATCGCTGCTTCTGTTTTTTCTACTGACTGGTAGATGTCTGGCTCGAAAAAGGCTTTAGGAGTTTAAGGTGTGTTGTGATCAGTGCATGTGTCTCTGCATCATATGCTTTATACTGTGCTTTAGGGTGCTTTCATGTTTACAAGCTGTGGCGAATTGGCAAACCAAGTTTTCCATGCCGCTGTTCGGACAAAAAAACAAAAGTCTCCTGTGTTGTGTGCTTCACTTTTGTGTTTCACTCTTGAGTTTTGTTGTCACAATAGGGAAATTATGTTTAACTACACATAAACAATATGAGCTATTGAAATTAATAATGCATTAGAAAAAGTCCACACTGCAATGTGGTATTGTCAGAATTACAATCCAAATTATCCAGACAACTGTACAATGTTTTTTTTTTTTCTTTTTTCAGTCGTCACTCCTGACTGAGGCTACAAAGTTCCTGTGTAATCAATTTTGTGTTCACATTGCACATTATGCATGAACACTATTTAATTTCTCTTGAGGTCATAATTCAACATCAGTAACACCTATGTAAAAGCTGAGTGCATTGCTAATTAACAGCCAATATATTTGAATAATCAACATTGTTACTCGCATGCTCGTTCATAATTAAATATATCCCTACACTTCTCCCCATGTGAAGAAATCTTGGCCATTCACATTTCTTCTAGCTCTTTTTTCCTTTTGTTGTTGTTGTTGCTGAGTGTAAAGTTTAAGTGCAGTAAGCACATTTTATACTGCTTCTACGTCTAATAGCACTCTAATGTCAGTCACTATTGCTTCTGAGTGATGATGAGTTAATAATAGTATATTAGCTGATGGTTCTGAGCAGTATCACTAAGATGTCTTCAGTGCAGCTTCGGTCCTCTTGTCCTGAAATGTGCTCTGCCCCACTGAATGCAACAGAGAGAAATGTGTGGAACTGATACTTTCTGAATAAGCTAGAAACACTTACAGATTTTCCACAATGAGAACCCAATTTGACTGCCAAGCTACTCAATTGTACGAGGCTAATTATAAAAATTGCACAGTTTTCCTAAATTTCTCACAGCTCTTCTATCAGCACAGGGACATTTGTTTGTTTTTTCGTCTCCAGGAAATGAGAATTTATGCCACACTGATACCAGTCGTGAGCGCTGCTATCACTTCCGTAGCTGAACTGAGCAGTTGATTAAACAGGGACACAAGGTAGTTTCATGAAGTTACCGAGAACTGTCAGGAGCACATTGCATTACATTCCTCACTGCCAACAATAGCTGGCTCAAAGTAATCCTTTGTTATTATTAGAACTAATTAAAGTAAAACCTAATTTCCTTCTAAACTCGTTTTACAGAGCCATTGTGGCTACTGATTTTATAGTGATAGTTCCAGTGAGTGAGTTAAAATGACATCATACAGATGGTCTTGTTAAATTGGTTGGGAATAACAGGCGTTGCTGTTAAAAAGCTGTGCAGTGGTAGCCAATTTGTAGTCCTTTGTCCATCTTAGATGAAAATTTATTTTCTGGCACCTGGTGGAATATGCAATAAAAGTAAGAATAATGGAATGATGTGTGTCTACTAGAGTTAATGTAATATTAACATTAATTGTAATTTGTAATATTAATTTTAGAAGTTATTGTTTGAAGAATACATACTGGTATGGGTTTGTGTCCCCAAATTGACTCAAGTTGTGGGATATTGCTTTGTGTTTTCATTTTTAAGCATCTGCATGGAGTCATAATCATATTTGATTAAGGAGGGACCCAGAGCTAATTTGATTAGGTTATTTAGAGGAATATGCATTCTGTAATAAACATTTATTATGATGAAAAAGTTTACTTTAATAAGCGGGAGAGGCCCAGAGGACATGCAAGCTTAATTGTTAGATGTTAAATTGCGTTGTTGCGATGTTGCCAAGATAATGGGCAAGGAAAGGCCCTCAAGTCAAGGCAATTAACCAAACAGTGGTTTGATTGTTGTTAAATTGATTAGAAAATGTTTAAGTACTCCATTTGAAAATTAGCTATTGTTTCACGCAGTTTTAGACTGCAAAGAATGCTGGGCTTAATGATACATACGCTCTGAGTTAGAAATGGGAAAAGTTGTTGCTCAGGTCAAATTCTTAGCTTCACAGATGTTGTGGCAACTTGTTTAGCTATATTAAGGGCCACGAATGATGCTGAAACAAATACCTCAACACCCCAGGCAGAACTCTGTCTCAGAAAATGCCAGTTGAATATGACATATTTGTTATCTTGACTCTTGAAATAACAGTTTAGACAGCACACGGAGTCTGCACATAGAGACTGAAGCTTTGTTTTCTGTGGTTCATAGCTTTATCTCCCAACTGTTGATCAGTTCTCGCCGACAAAATTAGTGATAGATATGGCAGTTTGAGTGTCTGCTCGGTGTTGCCCACAGCGACAGTTGATGAAGATGCACAGAGGGAGGTGCAGGTTAGAGCCAGTCTGTTTGCTCGCCCCAGCATCAGCGGTTTCCTGATTAGACTAGTGGAGAAATCTGCGGCTGGAGGCAGGCTTTATGGCCATCACCACCCCACATCTCCCTGCTCATTAGTACTTCACAGCCTAGTGCCACAGCATATGGCAGTGTTGCTACTGCTTCCCATTTGAGGTGCGTTTCAAATGGCTGTCCCTCGCTGAGCCGCAAGCCTTTGGCAGTAGCCTGTCTCATTGTGTCTTAGATGAAGATAAACATCAGTAGTAAAGGAAAAGTTGGGGTTTTAATTTTGTTATATGAGTCATTTGTTACATTTTGGGAGGATGCTAGGGTTTGATTTGCACAACAAACACAAATAATTGAAAAGTTTGGAATTTCTTTGTTGAATTTATAATAACATTAAATTAACAATTTGGTTGGGCCACTTTCACTACAGGAGATGCTCTTTAGAACTCTTTAGAGATTAAATAACTGCCAGACTGTAACGTATTACCTTATGGAAACGTATTATGTCGGGGATACACAAAGCTTAAACCAAGGAGCACTAACATGCATGTTTTCAATGGGTGTCGTGAACAGGTGTTCTCATTTTATCTGTGGCTGTGGGATTATAGGTGCTTTATGATACGTCTCATTTTATGTTTTTGTTTGGTATGTGTCTTAAAGAGTGTGTGCGAGTGGGATGTTCTCTCCTGAACATACACTTATGTTTACATGAATTAAAACCATATTATTTGGGATCATCAAGTATTGTCACATCCTAAACATTGTACAGTGTTCGGGATATGCTCATAGCCTCCAGTGAAAAAACAAAAACAAAACAGATTGTAAGAATGGCCCACTGCTAGCTGTGGTTCTAAGACATTTGGCACCACATCCTTTATGTCTGTGATGTATACTAGTGTATTAATTGGAAACTTCATTTGGAATCTGAGAGGAAAATGAGACAGTATCCAGAGGACACCGTACACGCTTCAGATGGGATACATACTGTGCACTTGGCGGTATTGTCATTTTCTGTTGGATCTTGTTTTTCACACTGTGCCCTCCCTCCAACAGAACATACACATAAAAACATTGGCTGATGATATGGTAAGGTGCTTGGTTTAATTTTGCTGTGACTAGTTTTTTTCATCTGTTTTGTCAGAGCTGCATGGGAGTTTTACCTGAAATGATGTGGATGGATCAAATGTGGCAGAAGCAAGTTAATTAAATTGATATTTTAACCCAACAGAACTGAAGTTACATCTAGTCACTATACAGTTTTTTTTGTTTGTTTCTGTGTCGTTACACAAAGGCTAAGCTTAATCTGGTTGTTGTGGTAGCCCTCCATAATGCCGTGTAAATAAAAGATGATTTTTTTTTTCATGGTGCTATTATTTAGCACCACAAACATCCTAAATTTTTCATTATGAGCAAAATTTAGCCCATAGCATCTAGAGTTTTGTAAGCAGCTCATAGATCATTTAGTGTGCAATTATCACCAGCACTTCCGATTAGATGCCTGGGGCTTTTTTAATACCCTTAGTTAACAAATAGGCTAACTTTGACACCCATAAGCTCATGCAGTATTGCATTAATTTTAGGATGTACAATTCTCTCAGCATGCAACTGCACCTATAGGGAATGAACGCTGTATGTTTGATCCATCCAGTAATATTTCAGCAAACTGATATTAGTGACATCATGTTTGTCTTTCCATTTTATATATGTTCATTCATCCAGCATGTCCTCCCCATTCCATTTTACTAAACATGACTAACACTGACTAGTTGCATGCGGTTCATGTACTTTTTCTTCTTTCACACTAAACTTTACTGTACTGCATTCATCAGAACAGCATCAAGTGATGAATATAACAAGGACACACCCGAACATTACAGATGTCATCACAGCAAGCTTAAGTTGTTATTGTTTGCTAAGACTATTCTAATAACATGAGCACAAAGCAGGTAATCCTGTGGGTATGACGGTAAGTAACCTCCTGAAGTGTCTTGTAGTAAACTATGCCACATACATGTGTTTCATGCTTAGAAAAAAAGTAAAATAGAGATTAATTTAGTATAAAAATAGAATTTACTGTGTACTGTAAATTCTGGAGTTTCACACAAGGTTCATTGGTCACCACTATTGGATGGATTGCATGGCATTTGTTCAGCAAATTCATTCTATTCACAGGAAGTACCTCTTTTATTTTTTATTTTTTTGGTGTAACAATTAATATTTCCAAAAATCTCATTAGTGGCTTACCACAGTGACCGTCCTCTAACACCACTTTTTGTAACAACGAATAATGCCTTCATGCTCACCAAAGAGTGAAACAATTTATTTAAACAATATTGCTTAAGCTTATGCGCCACCCTCAGGTCAAACTGTTTTTACCCCTGTAGCGGAAAGGATGTCATAGTAGCAAAATGTCTTTCTATTTTTTGCCGTTCTAAGAATTTTATTTTCTGGTGTTTTATGAGCATTACAGCCTCATGGCCTCACAGCCCCCCACCTATGTCAGTATAGACTTATATAGCGATCTCTTTGCCCTGTTCCTAAGTAACTACACCCACCCTTAAGGCAAAATTGTGAAAAGCTTTACCAAAATTGGGTGTGATCAGTTGTACGTGTTGGGTGTGGTCAGATGTTCAACAGACTTTCAGCCAACAGAGATCAGTGGAGCAGTGCTAAACATTCATGCAAAATCTTATCTGGAATTACTCTTTAAGGATTCTATTTGAAATCTAATTTGCATTTCATTCCCTATTGTTTTCATGTTTACTAGCAGAAATGTCAACTGTAACCAAACCCAAAAATGTGTTTACTGTACATTGTGGTTTTATTTTAATATCTCAAACACTTTGTTTTCTTTCAGCGCGATCGTATTACCAGTTTCAGGAAAACAGGGACGAAGAAGGAGAAGCCCCTCATACAGCACCCAACAGATCCCCTCACTACCCAGACGGAGCTGCCTGTTCCTCAGCCCCTCTTTGATGACCGCTCCATGAACCTTTCGGAAAAGGAGATCATTGACCTCTTTGAGAAGATGATGGTGAGCTTTGTATTTCTCTTGCAGTGTTTGTCCCCGAATACGGCCGTCTGTAGCACTCCACAGCAGTTTTATTACAGCAGCCGCAGAATAATAAATAATGAGCGTTCTATTATGAAAGTGTGAATTGATTAATAAATCTGTGCACACAAGTAGAGAAACAGAACTTCTTTCGTGAATGTTGGTGAAGAGGAGTTTGACAAGGCAGAAAGTTGAGTCTGAAAAGAATTTTATATCGATATATATTACTACCCACAGATCTCTATGCGCCCTTGTTTTACTGCTGATGAGATTTTTTTAGTGAACAAAGCTTTGCCAGGCATGTAAAAAAGGATGATAATGAAATTACTGCTTTTCAAAGCTCTCCTAGTTTTATGCCACATCTTAAAATTTGTTTGTCGTTTTACTATATAATCTGTCCTGATAAAATTCTCCTATCAGGATATCATGTTTTACAGTTCCTGTGACTAAATGAACAAATTGAATGCTACCAAAATTTAGCAAAGATCTTTTTTTACTGCATACTGCATAAATAATCCAAGACCTAGTAACACAAGCGTGCATGTCAGTAATCAGAGACAGGGCTGAACTTTATTTGGAGATTTATAAAGATAATGTTTTTTACCCCCATTAAATATTGTGTGGTTAGAAAACCATAAAAGCTTAGTATCCCAAGGTCCAGGTTGAAAACCACTGATGTAACTGCAGAAGTTTGTGAAATGATGTAAATATTTTGAAGGTTCAAGCCCACAGAAATTAATACTAAAAAATTGCACACACGACTGCCCAATCGTAGCAGCATATCCAGAAAACAACTCCCATGGTGACATGAAACTGTGCCCTCCTGCAAGACCTCTTCTTTGATGACTGACCTTGCCTGGAGGTTCAAAATGTGTAAAATAAATTCACAAATTTGTGATATTTTTTTGGAGCATGTGTGTTGCTTCAACAGTTTCACATAAATACAGTATATATTTAATGTATCCAAATAGACTTCAGATAAAGTAAAGTATTTACAGTAAAGATGAATGCATTTTCAATCAGATGTTAAGCTTTTGTGAAGTATGGCTCAACCTCCATATTCCCAAGGCCACTGTCAGAAGAACACAGAACTTTGAAATTCACTTCGCACTCATCTGTGGGGTCAAAGCTCTGTCACACTTGTGATTTTCTCCATTGAAATGCATTTTGGGCCTTATGTACTGCAGGATTGAAATCTAACAAAAAGCTTTCAGCCCATCTCTTTGAAGTGGGGAGCTGAATTACTCTGGCTTCATTGCATAGGTTGTGTGTACTATTGTGGATAATGTCTCTGAGTGTGTGTGTGTGTGTGCGCTGTACGGTGCGTGCCTTTCCTTTTTTCTCATACAATGGTCTTTATTGCCAGGGCCAGAGAAATGCGACCAGTGCTCGTGGTTTTCATCAGCCTACTGCTCAGTGTTTTTTTGCCTGGGTGCTCATCCCTGTCACTCAGTTCACCTCTCAATTACTATGTTTGTGCTCACAGCGGCGTGACATTAAACCCAGGCTTCAATTTGCTCAGTGACAGACGACACAGAAGGCATGTTTGCTGGTTTGACATTTGACAGGCCTTGACACTTTGGGCTGGGAAGTGTAATTACAGTAATGAAATCAAAACGAAAAGGGTTATTTACTTATGTACTTTTGAAGCCACTACTATTTGCTCTCATAAACTGTAAACTTTTCTGCTTTGGTGTCGCAGACACAGAAATGACAGTGGTGGGTAGTTTGTTTTGATGTTAGTAGCTTCTCTTCAGCATCTATCTGTTTTTTTCCCCCCATCTCTCTTTTTATGTCATACACACATACATTTTAGTTGCTCTTCTTGTCTTTACACCCATTCTGTTATTGATTGTTTTTATGGTGCTACATAGTACAGCCTTAGATGTCTAGCCTGCTTCAAATGCAGGAATGGCCCATACCATATTATTGAGACCACCTACTGTGCATTAATGAGGAGAAAGTGAAAATAGTTTTTTGTCTGGGAAGTGGGAAGCCGGGTATCTCAGCTGAAATAGCACATAGCCTATTACTGAAAGGTCATCAAAGGGATTTGGAAAAATATTGGAAGAAACACTTAGCCAGTGGGGAGGAAAACCAAATGAACTCTTTCTTGAAATTTTGAAGCTAACCATTAAGAGCAGAAATATATTCATAAAACTACAGGGAAGTTAAAATGCATGAGAAATCATTTACTTTCAGCATTACCTTTAGAAGGGTGTTTTGTAACTCTTTACTGTGTATTCTGTCATTGGATTTCATTGAAGATGTGCACAGCTGGAATTCAGAGCCCCTCATCCAAATGCGGAGCAGTAAATCCTACGATGATATGTCCGGTATTTCCACTAAGGAGGCAGCTGTGTTGCAGTGGCAGACTAATCCAAAAAGTTCAACCTAGGAACACAATAACACACAAAATAACACGTGAACTAATTTCATCAGCTTTTTAGTAAGCTGTGAAGCCTTTACATTATTACTTAAATTATGCTTTACTTGTCTGTCAAGGTGAAGGGCTCCAAGAGCGTGACGTCCTTATTTAGTATTTATAGATTTGATTCCAATGCCTGTTTGTCTCTGTTACCCATTGTGAATAAGAGTAGTATAAGGTATTGAGATGCTAGCAGAGACAGAGGACCAGTGGAAGAAGAATGTCACATTGCAGTGCAGCTGTGGCTAGTTTGGGGTTTTATGTACCTCTCTACGCACCATTGTCAGGATGAACACTCCTAGTAATAAGCTCCTATGTGATCCCTCAGCAGTTACACACTGCACCAGGACATTAAAACCAGCCCACAGGAGAGTTACTGTGCGTGCCCTTGCACACACACGAATCAGACTTGAAGTTAGTGGACAAAATAATCGATTCGCCTCAGTTGAATCAAAACATTTTTGTACGTCTCCCACTTTTCTTAGATCCACTTTTCCCCATAGCATGGACTCTTCATATCTACTTCAGCCTCAGACATATTTGATGGTAGCCATTAATTGCTCTTCTCTGTGATTTGAAGCCGGTGGCACATGAGCTTAGGCTGTGTTTGCAGCCACATCATGCTGCAGGAATTTTTGCCTATCTATATTTTTCATATACAAGAAAGTCCCTATGCAGAAAGATAGTACTATACTCTACTGTACTTAGCAGAGTTAGAGGACTAAGGCACATTCAATATAAAATGAAACAATCACTATGTTAAAGTACTTTGTTTTAATTTGAGAATCCTTACTTTGAAAGCTTACAAATCAAACAGATTTGTAGCACTTTCAAAAACTATTTATTGGTAAAATCAAAAGCTTAAATGAAGTCAACATAGTTGAAATTTGGTTGGATAACTTTCTGAAATCTATCCACACAGCATATGCCCCTGTAATGCACTACCAGGCCTGTAATACAGCCATGTTCACTTATTGCTTGTTTTGGGCACTGGTCTTCAGTGAGTGAAACACCTTCTCAATTGGAAAGAGGTGAGCCCGACTGCAAGTCTACTAAACCAATAGGCATGAACACAAACGGCCTTTAATCTAAAAGTAAGCTCATTAACCTCAGCCATTGTTTGATTTCATGTCCTGAAGTACATAGTCAAAAGAACTGAAAACAGTGTGTCACTGTCCTGCTTCTTATCGACTGCACCACGTACACATAAACAGCAAGAGTGGGACGGAAAGTGTTCCTAAAAATCATCTCCATGATGCTCGATTGAATTGTTTAATGAATTGATTAGAATTTGAAAATTCTTAGAAGAGCTGGCAAGACCGACATGAGACAAGATCTAAAACATATTTCATAGTAACTCCACTGTCACTGATACAAGCTTAGATCGCATCATTTCAGTTACATAGCTGAAGATATCCTGGGAGTCTTTTCGTGTAGCCCGTGAGGGTATAATTAATAAAAGAGCATTAATCATTTTGGAGACTAAATGTGGAGAGCTCATTCCTCCAGTTTGCCCCCTGACAAGCATCCCGCAGGCCCACTACTCCTGCCCCTCCTACAACATACTCACCATGCCACATTTTGCCTCGTTTATTGAATGCCAATTAAGCAGATAAATTAGCAGGGTTCAAAGATTAATTAAAAAACCTGCTGGTTTCCTTGGGTGGAAAAACCTGCCAATTGTAAAACTTTCAGCCACATTTTTTCCCCCTCCCTGTTCCACAAAAAGGATGTTAATGGTATTTTAGCTCCGAGGGTATTTACTCGAGGAATTTAGGTCACGGTGCCCCTGGATGGGATTCCTGCCGATGCTTCACTGACAAATGAAGCAAAACAGTTTGAATCAGATTACTTGAGGTAGGATATTCAAGCCATTGTATTACAACATTCTTATTTAGAAGTGACACGCCTAATTTATTAGATGAATTTTACATTAAATCGAATGAAGGAGAACCACTGCCAAATTAGATCAACCAAACTGAAGGACGCAGGATTTTCTGGGCTCCCCAGCAGAGGGCAGCATGTCTCCACAACTTGAGGTTCACAATCCTAAAACCCTGAGGAGGATGTTTTTTCTCTCTGTTCATTCTAGCCGTCTCTTTGTGAGAGAGTGCTTCTGATAAACATCCCCCTCCATTCTAATCATCATGTCATTCCCTAGCTTTTAGTGCTCTGTCCGGCCTTCGCTCCATCCCCTGATGTCTCTCACATGAAAGACCTCTTTTGTGATGCAGAATTAAAGTAGCACAAAGATAATACTCCCAATAACACGCAGATACTGCCTATCCAGCCTATCTGATGTGATTGCATGGCCTCAATAGAAGCAGTGTTGTTTGATTCTGCTCTCTTGTTCGGAGTTGGGTGTACAGTTTATATTGCTGTAGCCTTGCTACTTTTCGTTTCAAGGACTAATTATTACTGCCATTATTTCCTGTTGCTGTACCTCGTGACTTTGTCAAAGACACATAAATGGAAAATAAATGTATTCAGTTGTAGAAGGACAGTCTCTGATGGTTTTAGCAGAAATAAAAGTATAATTGTTGATGCATCTGAAATATTTCTTCTGACTAATAAAACTTTTTATTTGGATTCAGAAAAGTTTATTGACGTCAAGAAGCCGTATTCAATTGCTATATATATTGTTTACCCAGTAAATACACACGACTCAAACATACATAGTCAATACAAGGAAATTAAGTTTTCTTCCCTAGTATGGAGTATATGCTCAGTGTTGTAGATCGGCTATGGTTTTACACCATTCCTTGGTCAATATTCTCCACATTCCTCTTTATGATATTTTTTCATATTTTTATTTTAGATTTTTATATTTCACATTTATGTAGCTTGACTTTTGTCATACATTCTTTTTACTTGCCTTTATTTTATTTTATTTTAATAACAATGTTTATTGTTATGCACCAGAACACCAAGCCAAATTCATTCTATGTGACAAATAGACAATAAACCTGATTGTAATTCTTATTCTCAGACTGAGCCTGGTGTATGTTTTGTAATACACATACATTTTACATCTCAGAAAAAATCTTAATTACTTACTGTTTGTTTTTCAACATTCTTCATTGATCTCTTGTGCTAAATCTGAGTAGTACCCAGTCTCTGCTCATTACATAACATTTCTCCTTACTCTCTGTGTGTATCTAGGAGGACATGAACCTGAACGAGGAACGCAAAGCCCCTCTGCGTGGAAAGGACTTAAGCACCAAACGCGAGATGGTGGTCCAGTACATCTCAGCCACTGCCAAATCTGTAAGTGAGAGAGCAAACCTAAGTGTTCGATCTTCATAGACTCAACAGTATGTACTGTATAATTGTTGTAGATGAGTAATGAGTTTAACCTGATCCTCTGCTTTAAGGCTTGCTTTGTCATGCGTTCTTGCACATTCTCACTTCCGTCATCGACTCTCTCCACTCTTCATGCTTGAATCCCACATCTTTCTTTGCAATTTTGATTTATTTTCTTCAATTGTTTTTCCAAATTATGCTACAATCTGTCATTGTAAGCTATCAGGTATAAATTGTAGTCACTCACTCACTCAATGCTAGGTGGATGGTCAGTGCTTCTCCGCTCATCTGCTTGCATGCAGTTTGTTGGTTGTCCATTCGTGTACTTGCATGGGTTCAGTTCAGTTCAGCTTCTTGTGAAAAGCACAAACACTAAATACAAAGGTGAGGTAAAGCAAGCATTTTAGGTTATGTTCATCATGTGCCTATGATAAGCCTATAAACTTTATATGCTACATTATAGTGAGCTGCACCATGCACTTTATCTTTGTTCTGAGTTTACTTATCAAAACAAGTGATAACAACTGTTTGGACTGTTCCTTATTAACAATAGATTTAGGATTATGTTGCCCGTTCTTGTAGAGTAATCTAGACCTTGGGCTTCACTCTAATCCAAAAACAGCAGTGAAAATTAAAGTGTTCTCATGGTAATCCATGAATTTATGGTCAAATTTCATATCCTCTTTTGAAGTTATGGCCGAACCTTGTGAGGTGAAATTCACATCAGCACCGAAGTAAAAAAGTGATTTCTGCCCCCATTGCTTCCCGAACCTGGTAGCTCTCTCTTGACATCGTCATTTATTACCTTCCTCATTGTTATGGTAATTAACTGGCATTATTGATAATGATGATTATCCGAGATGATTGAATTCCTCGCAGGGCCCATTATGCTTTGTGAGCACTGATATTTTATTCAAATGAATAACGTAATCTGTGTAGTCAAAGGACAGAGGACAAAATGTGATGTCTGTCAGCACCCTGCTATCACATTTAATAGGACTGAAGGAGGGCGATGGTTGAATGTCAGTGATGATGTATCTGTGCGTGATACACAGATTCATGGAAGTACGCATACAGTAACACTAGAACACCTTTACATGGGCAGATACTGGTAATACATGAGTGACCAAGAAGACAATTTAGCTTGAACTTAATAGTTTTTGTGTATCATTCTGACAATAATGTGGCAGTGCTACCAAATCTCATTCGCAGTAAGAGACACTATACACACACAACTATTTGTGTCACAGTCTACAAGCATATCAGATAATTGTGCTACAGCAAACGCATAACTAAGTGTATTTGCAATTGTTTTGCAAACTGTATATGCTAATCAGCAGATATTTTCACTTGTTTTAATAAAATAACTTAAATAACACTGTACCTAATTGAATATACTGAATAATTTATAATTTGTTAATAATTGACTCCTGTCTTAAGTCAAATTGATATCCTGTGGTCCCTTTTAGCTCCTGATAGATGGAAAGCAAGAATATGTATTTATAGAAATCTGAGTAACAATGATGCATTCCAGCCTGCAGCTTATGAGGATGTTGTATAAACTGCCTTATAGTGATCCTGTGCTCATTGGTTTTTTGAATAGTGTGATTAGGGATTTCTGTAACTTCTTAACGTGAGGGGGAATCCTCATAAACTACAGAAGCTCATGTATCATCACACAGTACAGATTCTCAGGAAGTACATCAGTTTATGACATTTGTTTCAAATTTAGCTGCCCAAGTCAAGATTTGTTTCACGATTGCTTTGCCCTTTTAAGTAACTGCTTTGTTCTTGAAAAACAGTCCAGTTTTTCACTCACACATGTATGCATTTATGAGCATATATGTGTTACTACTAAAATGTATTTCTCTTGCAGGCTTAGGCATTATCTTGGGCTAACGTTGCTTGTGGTTGCTAAAAGAGCATGCAGTGTGGACTAAATGAGTAATGAGACTAAATGTTGCATTGGAAATGTAAATGGTGATTAATGTAGGTGTGGTGCATTTTGGTGTCTCTTTTTGCTGTGGCGCCTTCTCTGGTAATGGGACTTTTTCTACCAAAGATGTATGCTGCATTGTGAGATTGCCTTTTTGGGGCTTTGGAAGGGCTCTACACACGTTCATCTCAGTTTCCTGTTTGTTTTTCTAGATGGTATTATAAGGTACCAACATCTGACAAGATGGTCATTTTTGATATTACTCTTACAGGGGCATCTTGTTTTGAACTTATATTTTATTGCTGCCACGGAATTACAAGTGGGACATGAATGTCACCAGCTCCCCCACGACCACATAATACTCAAATTTATGTATTAAGATTTGGAGAGCCCTTTCTTTCTTAACCTACAGCTAATGCAGACTGTGCAGGCTTAAAGTGCTTCGGAGCGGCAAGTTTAAATCAGTAAATATTGGTGGAACAAGAAATATCCCCCAGCATTGGGTGGCCTTTTTCTTGTCTGTCTCTGCAGACCTGCTCAATTGAGCAAGGGGCTTTATTGCCCAACAAAAAGCAACTTATTTTGTTTCTGCCAAAAAAAAAGGGAGAATTCAGGCACCTTAAATTCAACAGCTTTAGGTGCCTGATGTTTCATTCACTCTTTTGTTGTATTCATTTCCATTATTCATGCATGTTGATGAACCACCATAGGTTATTTCTTTAAAGCTATATGGCTTCAAATCATCACTAATATTAGAAAAGCCTGAATATTACCTTGTTTACTTATAAAATGTGTCTTTCAATGTAAAGTCAAGTTTTTTCTCTGTGTCTTTTCAAGGGACAATTGTACATTGACCCTGTTCATTTGAATATGAACTATGTTTCAATGGAATCCAGCTCTATTTTTGCAGGAGTGTGTCTGTGGATGTCCTTGACCATCAGCTTTGCATGAACAGTTGCCTTTCTCTCTCACCTCATTTCTTGTTCTTTCCTCTTTTATCAATGCGTGCCAACATCATTAAACTGCCAAAATTCCTTCAACACTAATACAATCACTTATTTCTCAGAGATCGACTTTTCCTACTGACAGTGAATATTTTCATTTCAAACGTGCTGTGAAGGGTGTGATGGCAGGTTATTCTAAGATGGATGATAATTTTGTTTTATTCAAATATTGGTGTGTTTGATGTAACCATCAATGTGCCACCTACTTCTGATTGAGCCTGACATTTACTAACATCCTCCAGGCTCTTTCTTATCATATTGATGAGTGTTTAATGCAATTAGTGTATATATATATATATATTTTTCCATTTAAAAAAAAAAAAAAAAAAAGGGTGTTAATTACATTTGTACTGAGAAGAAAATGCATTCGCTTCTGCTTAGGGACTTGCCCTTAGTTTATTTATACTGTAGTTTGAGAGATGCTTAATATCAGATCTCACTAGGTAGATCTCATTATTAGTTGGGGTCTGAAGTTAAAGGAGTTTTGCCCTTGTTGTAGTGAGAACAAGGTGTTACACTATACAGTGAAACTGTGCTTGTCCCCCTCGAGCTCCTCCCTGACTGTTGTCTGTGCACACTCAAGATAGTGTCTGTTATTTTGGTCAAGCTGCTCCAAAACTAGATTCAAAAATATGTCTCCAATGTTGTAAACATCAATGTCTGTGGAAAATCTAAGTTGTGAGTTACGTCAGTGTGACTCATTTCAAGGTGTCTAGCCCTGTAGTATTCAGATAAAATATTCCCCAATGCCAGACAGTGACATGCTGGCTTCACTGCAGACTCAGAGCAAGGAAAATGTGGATACACACTATGATTAGAAAGTAGTATGTGCATGATCAGATGGTGGCACGTGTAAAACGGTCTTTATGGCTGTCATAAACTCTTGGTAGAGGGATGGAGAGGGGAAATCAAGCATCAAATGGCCACAGACTTGCAGAGTTTGAGAGTGACAATAAAAGAAATGGAAAGGGAGATTAGAAGTGGGGGGGTGGTGGTGGTGGTGGTGGTGGTGGTAGGAGAGAGTGAAAACAGGATAGAGAGAAGGGGTTTAAAAAAAAAAGGAGCTCAGTGTGTCCTGTAACTTCCTGCAATCAAAATGCATTTCCTCAGAAACATGTTGCAGAGAAACAAGTGCTCAGCCACAGTATAGAATACATTTACTTGGCTGACAGACACCCTCCTACTGTGAAACAAGCCCCACAGTTGCCGTTATAAAAACACTCCTGCTACCTGCCACTATTGACAAATAACAAGGTTAAACTCCAAGATTCGTGCTGACTGCATGGGCTGAAGGTAGCTCTGTCACACAAAGTTGACACTTGAAGCCCAACGTTAATGGCAGCCGATTGATATCAGACCGGGGAGACCCTCTGCAACCTCTTTGTCCACACTAGCCACTATTCCTTTTTGGGGAGGAATCTGTGAATCTTTAACTGTCAGTCAGTTATAAGGACAATTCGCCATGTCTAAACATGTTGATTCCTCACTTCCACAGTTGTTGTTGGCATCATGGGCGAATTCTATTGCCTCATTTATCCACATTATGATGTCAATTGGAAAATTGCAGCTGCCAAACACAGACATTGTCTTCAGTATGTGCCCATAATTGTAAATGTTCTCTTGTTGGCTTTTCATTTTTTTTGTTATATAGTGTGTGCTATAATTGTGTGAAGTATGTTTGTGATGTCACACAAGTTACGCTAATGCCTCAACGTGTAATGGAGAGTATTCTCTGGCCTACTAATGATTGTGCTGTTTGTGTCTTTTTGCACATTAACCTTCTCCGCTGATCGCTGCATGCAGATAACTGGGAGCAAAGTTGCGGTAAGTAGCCCATTATTTACTTGGCTTCTGAATCTTGTTCCTTCTATGTATCTGTCTTCATTCACCCTGAACACACACACACACACACACACACACACACACACACACACACACACACACACACACATACACACACGCACTATTTATCTTCTTTTGGAAGGATGTCGAGGAGCACGTTCCAAACTGTGCAAGTGAGGTCA